ACCATGGAAAAAAAAAAAAAAAAAAAAAAAAGATTTGGGACTGGTAATGATAACTCATGAGAAAGAAAACTATAAAATGACAAAGAATTAATATGTGATTCTATGTGTATCTGATTAAAATGAATATTTGTGTGTATTATATTGCTTCCAAAAAGAAGGACAGCATAGCAAAAGCTAAACTATACCACTTCCACTTCAAATATTTGAGAGCCAGCAGGGAAGTCCAAGGCTGTTCACATTAATTTGACCACTGATGTCCATGTTACTCATTTTTCTGCTGCTATGACAAAACACCAGAGACAAGGCCTACCCTCCTCCCAGTAGGTGCAAGCACCTCTCTCAGAGCCACCTCCAAACTTTGCTGGATTGGGGCTCAAGCCTTCGATCCATGAGCCTCAGGGGGTCACATCATATTCAAGACACCCAAAGAGGCACCACTGTCTATAGACAGTTGCCAATTCTGCCTGGCATGCTTAGGCTTTCACACCAGTTTTTCTGGCAGCCTGGCTGCTTTCTCCCATGAATCCCACAAGAGCTATTTATTTATCATTACTGGACTACAGACAAGAAGCCTTAGTTGCTGGGACTTGGCAGAATCAGCCAAGTGCATGGCCATGGAAGACACTTTACTCACAATATCTCCCTCCATTAAAATCAGGTGCCCAGGTTCCCACGTCCAATATCAAAGAGTCTTGTGCTTTCTTACTACCATTTTGTTTAAATCAACAAGAAAATAATTAAAGGCGATTCTACTGCTTTACCAATTTTCTAAGCTATACAACTAGAAAGTCAAATGCTGTAAGACCTTCATTTACAGCTGCAATATATACATGCATATCTTCCAGTGTCTTTTTTCTCATGTAACTAAGGTAGTATAGATCTTTCTCACACAATTATACATTCTTCCAACATTCCTCCTCCTCATCCTTTCTCTCTTTGCCCTCAACTCCCCAGCCTCCCAACGTACACATTGAACTTGGAAAATAAACAGGCCATCAAAAGGGTGAGACTTTAGGGCAAAGAGTCTTTTCTTTTTACAATACATAAGTGAATTTTCTGAATGAGAAACGAAAGCTCTAGAGGTAGAAGTACGATAGTGGAAAGCTGCTTTGAAGTATGGAATTCTCTCCTACTTGGTCAAGGAGTACTTCATAACTTGAGATTGACAAATTCTATGTAATACATGAATACAAAGGCTTGAGAAGAATGTCAATAGCTCCTTTTGCCTACAGATTAAAAAAAAATACTACAGGGGCATTTAATGGGTTCATTCCAAAGTTGCTGAAAGTAGGTAGATAAATAAATAGAAGAAAAGAACAAAGGTACACACAGGTCAAAGTTACATATGTTCCATACCTGCTCAATGTACTTTTTATTTCCAACAAGGATATTATCTTATGCATAGTGCTTGGTTTGTATTTTTAAGATAGCTCAAATGTTCCAGCCTTCATGATACGACTTTCATTCAATCTGATCTTCCCTAATACAATATGACTCCAAAAAACTATTGTGGCAAACATCCCAGATTCAGAGTTCTCCTCTAAGATTTGCCTGGACTAGGAACAATCAGAAATGCTTTCAAATCTGAGTGAAACACCGCAACCAAAACTTCACTGAAAGAAGAAAGCAATAATTTATGATCTTCATTCTACCGCGAATATTTGAACTGCCCAATGCAGCTACTCCCATTCATCTCACGTTCGTTGTTGTCTCCTAATACTTCACACATCACAAGCACGAACTGAGCAAACCACAAGAATTAAAATGTCTTCCACAACTATGTCTTGTAGACCTTGGACGCCAGTATGAGGAGGTATGGATTTATGTTTTGATATGTTAGAGCTGTTTCTTCTTCCGTAAGCAACATACTCGCTTTCTTAGAGAATAATTATCCTCTTTCTGTTTGAAATTTATGTTATCAATCAGTAATTTAAAATAGGATTTCTTTTAGTGTGACAAAAATTACAATGCTCACATGAATGACTCATTAAAATTATCTCATAATTACAGTATGGATGATTTGTGTGGTAACCTGAGTCATTCAAACTGCATTTAACATGAACTTAGTATCTATCACACTCAAATTTACTTTTCAAAATTGACATTTAATAAATGAAATAGATCACCTGGATATAGTAAAATAAAGGAATATGGATTTAGTAAATTTTGATGTGAAAACAGAAATCTGAAGAGGACCCTTCAATAATACTTTAGTTGTTTTAACCATACTGATAATTTATCAGTTACTTTTATGGCATATGGATAATCTAGCCATCTGGGTAACCCCTTCAACATTGTTTAATGCTCATGTCTTCTGGTATTAAAGATTCAAAAATAACCATCAAACAAAAAACATTCCACCACATTCGGTCATAGGTCTAGAAACCAGAAGCCAGTGTCCTTTATTTATTTTATTTTTTTGGTACTGGGGATCAAACTCAGGACCTTGTGCTTGCAAGGCAGAAAGTAGAACCACTGAGCTAAATCCCAAGCCTTTTTTTATATTTCAGTACAATGCCTCGTTCTGTATTAATAGAATTGTTATTTTTATTTGATTAAATTTGATTTGTGTGTATAAACAAACATTTGGGTGCTCTCCTTTCTCCAGTCCCTATTAATAGCTGCCTCTTTCTGGGAAAATAATGAGTAATTTAGGTATTACGTATTGTTGTCTTTGAAACTTTGCACCATTCATTAATCTGATTTTCATGCTACCTATGTCATTGCATAAATATACTACATGAAGGACAGAAAAACTAGTAAGACTTACTTTACTATCACAGCGACTTTAAAATTAGTGGCTTCTTATTACAGCCTAATATTGTGCTCACTTCAGCAGCACATGTACTAAAACTGGAACAGTACTGCTTAATAGGTAAGGGAAAAAGCCTCAGTATCAAAACTGTCTTAAATTCTGGACCTACTCCAATTTGTAAGGTAGGGGACACTAAACAATAAATATATCACCTGCAAAATGTTGCTATTAATAGTACTTTTCCCATACATGCATCAGAGGACCAATCAAGGAAGTGCACATAATTCACTTAGCATTGGTACTCTGTAGTCACTATTTAATGTCATTATCATGACAGTAGTGTTATCATTTGAAATCATATTTAAATTTTATATGTTCATATTTTCATATATGACTTAACTGTCCCATACATATGAATTTAACTCATAAATATCTGTAATGCATGGTTTTGCATCTTGTTTAAACTGAAGTACATTACTATGAGCGATACAGTATACAGACACACAGCAAGGAATATACCAATGTGGTTATGAATTTTCCCTACCTAATCCATGTGCTTTGTTTTAACAACTTCATTTTCTGAAGTACATAATTAGAAAATAAAACCAAATAAAAGATTAATATTTCTATTACTTAGTCTGTCTTCTGGAGTTTCTTGTTTCAGATAATATTCAATTCAACAACCAAAAGTAATTTACTTGATCTGCTACAGAGCTAAGGTGTGTGTATATCTTTATTATGGAATTGTATAATCTGCCTCCTTTCTGCTGGCTTTGCCTGAAATTACCAGTTCATTTAATAAGTGCACAGAAATGCTATCAGAATGCTACCCTGGTTCAATGTTAAATTTGTAGAAAATTAAAATGTATGTTCACATGATATTAACGTAACTACCCAAACTGAGTTACATACCTGCATTCAAAAAAGGTAAGTTATCCTTTCTGCTCACATTTTCTGGGGCTGTACATTCATATACCAGTGCACACTGCAAAAGAATAAAAGGGAAAATAGGTGAAATATATTTTAAAACAATTGAAATAAAATTTTGTTTGCAAAAATGCAAGGCTATATACATGTTTTCAAGAAATTTTGAAAACATTCTTTTTTTGTAAAACCGCTCCTTTTTCATCTTAATTTGAGGCTTATTTTACTTGTGATTATTTATTCACATTTATACATACAGTGGTTCTTTAGTTCATGAACTTACTTTGTTCTAAGATTTTGGAAAAGATGGCTCTGTGTGTTTGCGTGGGAAAGATGGCTGGGGTCGTGTTTCACATCTGATACAGAGTTTGCTAACAAAAATAACATTTTGCCAAACTGTTTACAAATAAAAGCATTCATGAACAGAGGTACCACTCTAATATGTTTTTATTATATAATTATAGACTGCATTCCAATTCTAAAGGCTACTCTGGAAACAATATAAAAAGAGGAAAAGGATTGTCCCTAATTTGCCAGAGATATGTTCTCATCTACACTAAATCATATTTGATAAGCAGAATTGTTACCATTTCTTTTACCTGGGAGAATTTCAAACTAATGGAAGGCAAATTATTTTCTAAACTTCAATTAAAAACAATTTTAACTGAAATATAAAATATTTTGAAATATCTAATTATATATAACAAAAGCATTTTTGTCCTCAGCAAAACAATCTGAATACTTGCTTATAAAGCTTCTTTATAAAGAAGCTGATCTCCTGGGTCCACAATTAATAGATTAAATTCATGACATTTGCAAAGCAGACACTTCTCTGGATGGGGAAAGGAAAGGCACACAGGCCGAGTGGGGCATGATGGGAGAGTATGTCCCAGAGAATCCATCCCTATGCATGGCACTTTTCCTCAGCTGTATATAACTATAACTGACTGAGGAAACAAGGTTTTCCTGGTGCCAGGAGATTAATGAGACCAGTTTTCACATAAGAGGGTCTAGCATTTGCTACCTTCATCTCTAGCCAAATGTGTGTATGTGGATGGGGTGGATTTTCACAGAAAATAAAACAGATATATACAAGCAAATGTAAGCAAAACACACAGAAGGCCTAGAAAGATTTTTGGATGAGAGGAACAAAGGGACGCAGGAAACCTTCTGTATGTTCTGCATGGCTCTGCTCAAGAGTACGCAGGGGCTCAGATAGACCTCCCCAGGAGCTCAGTCTAAGGTTACTTCAAGAATTCCCAGGGTCACTTCTTGGCTGGTTTAACATGTGCTCCACCACCACACACACATTCTGCCTTCTTCCTCCAGGGACCTGTCCCTTAAGAATCAGGCACCGAGGCCACTTTTAAAGGTACCATAGGCATTTTCCATAAACATTTTGAGGAGAATGGCCAGTAATTCAGAGCATTTACCTAAATATTACTTTCTTATAGTCTGCTAATTTCTCTATTGTTGGATTCATCATCACATCAGTCATTTTACAGATGAGCAAGAAAAAAAAGTGCATAGTTTTTCATTGAGGTCCTAGAGTACTGTAAATATGACTGACTGCCCCCAAAATTTAATATTCTTTAAAAAGTTTTCTGACCCACCAAAAATTACTAGCGGTCTCCTTTTTTTTTTTTTTTTTTTTTTTTTTTTTTTTTTTTTTTTTTTTTTTTTTTTTTTTTTTTGGTATTGAGAAACAAATTCAGGACTTTGCGCTTGCCAGGCAGGCATGATGCCACTGAGCTAAATCACCAGTCCTCATTTTCATTTCTGATGTGGGCATTCACAGCTATAAACTTCCCTCTTAGGACTCTTTGAACCAAACTGCTGAGCTAAATCCCCAGCCCAGTGCTCTCCTTCTTTGAATCCACAACTACTTTGGAAATGCACTCCTGAAATCACATGAAGTTATGTGCACTGATGATTGGTCCTACTTACAGTTCTTTATTTCTACCATTTCAAGTATTTCCTCTGCTCCTTTCTGCCCATCCAGAGCTGTTAAAATAATCTTCCATAAACCCTGTATTCATCATGTCAGTGTGTTACTCCAGCATGTATAATGGTAGTTTATTGACAAATCAAAACTAATATTCTCATATTGGCTTGGGGATCTTTTCATGATTCATTCCTGACACACTTCCATGTAATAGCTAGATTCACAGCTATAAACCATCCTCTTTCCCAAAGAACAACATCACCAACATAGCTTACAGGTTTAGACTGCACCTTTGCAGTGAAACCCATGATTCATAGAGAGCAGGCCATTATTCTGAGATGGTGGCTTCCTGTACAGAGGCAGCTCTGACTCCTTGTGATCCAAGAAGATTTCATAGTGCCGAAGAGAAGGCCTGCAATGTCTTACAAGGTGGGTACAGAAATGTGATTGTATTGTCCATCCAAATTGAAAGGCAGATATTTAGGACAATTTCAACTCAATAAAATTCTCATTTTTGCAATTGTGTTGTATTTTAAAGCTCTACTCTTCAGAATGCCTAGAAGATTTAGATCCATGGCACATAACAGAAAATATCCAATAAACAGTTACTACATTGATTAATATTGTCATTTCCTCATAGGGAACCTAATGGGCTGGCACATGGATCTGAGCCTTCCTAACTTCCAAAACCATATGAAAATATACTCCTACTGTTTAAGCTGCCCTGTCTGTGGTATTTTAGTGGCAGTCTGCACTCACTAATCAAGGCCTCACTTTTTGTTTTATCTGCTTTAATCTATAAGAGACATAACGTGTCACTCTCAGGGCACATAATTATAATGCTAAGAGAAGTTCTACTCCATTCTCTTTAAATTATTCAAACCAGTAATGGGATGTTATTTTAGGAATAATTCCTATTTCAGTTACTTTCCCTTTTCATGTATGTCATTCACTCCATTACTAACAGATTGTATTAATATACTTCAAAGGGATTCTGAATTCACAGAAGAATCCACGCATTTGCAGTTCTATAAAAGCACCCCTTCCCCAATGATGGGGACCACACTTTGAAAACCATTGAGATGAAGTTATTTCCTTATAAATCTTTTAACTATCATATGTATGAGACCTTATTAAATGTCCCTTACTCAAATGTGAATATACTTAGAGACTGCCAAGACAATTTATCAGCCATGCAAAAGGTCAGGGTATGCTAAAAATCTAGACAGGATAGAAATGATGCCAACAATATTTGGTGTGTTTACCATTTTTGTCAATGTGTGACTCATTCTCCAAGTGTGTACTGCCACCGCCACCTTCTATTTCTAGACTAGCTCAGTTACATCTTTTTAAAGTTCACATTGCTAAGCCAGAACCTTCGTGTAGGGCTTTGGTGGTACCATGCACTTGATTTATAAGAGGAGCATGGTTCAACTTGCACTACCTCGTGACAGGGTCAGTCTGGAGTCAAGGGAAGGGTGAACTGTGAGGGGAATGGTGAGGTGGTTAGGAACAGACTCAGACTCCGAGAAAACAGCCCTGCTTTGAGATAGGAAGTGTTTTTACTACTGATATCCCGCTTTAACAGCTGCAGGCCCAGGCAAAATGGCCTACCAGCTTCTGCACTCAGTCCTCAGCTTAGTACCGCAGTCCTCCCCCATTAATTTTGATACAAGAATTCATGTGGTGCTGGCAAAGGTGAGTCTTACATGGAACTCTAAAAGGGAACAAAGTTGGAATTAAGGGACCGAGTTCCAAATCAGGGATCTTGAGTTCACAAGCCCAAACAGCCCCTGACATTTGCAGATGCCCTGATTTAAACTCCAGGCCTGCTAGGGAAATTTTCACTATATGTGCTAACATTCCAAGGGGAGGTTGCAATAATAGAGAACAAAGACTGGGGAGGTTTACTATGGGGCAAGAAAAATGTTTTTTGAAAGACAGACTTTTTATAACATTAATTATTTGGTAGCTGTTGGATAAGCACCATCTTCCATGTAGATGTTTGCTTAGCACAAAAACTAAACATGCTACAAGATAAGAAAGAGTAAACTAAGAAATAACTCAGGAGTACTTATCATTTAAAAGTATTCATTTATGAAAAGGCAGAATTTATAGTACAGTATAAAAACCCCACTGGTTTCAAAAAATATCACTAGCAGTTTTAAGTCTGTCCCATGTCTTAAGTGCTTCAATAAAAGAGCTAACTTCATTCCTATGAAAGAAATCCATTCTCATATTCATACCAGGCTTTTCATTCCTAGAGTAAAGGAAGCAGAAAGAAAGAGAAACTCCTGGGCATGTGTTTATATGCACTAGGCCTTTTTCCTGGGCTGCAAATTAAGCTGCTTCACTTACAGTGGGCATAGCCTTACCTCCAGACCTGTCCCTCCGCTATACACTGTTTCCTGCCTCTCTCTGCAATTTCATAAGGCACAAAGGTCCTGTTAGGTCTTCCCTCTTACACATAAAAATAAAATTCAAATTCAAATTGCTCCTCTTTTTAAAAATATCTTTGGAAACAGAGTAGGTTACTTTTGGCCACAGCCCTCCAAGAGTGTGCGGTGGATCTCCTGCAAGGTTAATCTTGGCAGAAGGCAACAATGATCAGTACTTCCCTTCCAACGGAGAAGAGGTATCGTCAACAAGGGAGCTGGCAGCAAAGAGAAAGGTGTTTCTGAATGGTGCACAGATTTGCCTAGTTCCGTGCAAAGAGGACCTCCGGTTCAGAGGATGAAACACACAGATTGTACTTCAATCCCAGAGCTGATTTCTCATTTAGGTCTTCAATAATGAGATTTCAAACCCCACAGAGTACCAATGATAAAGGCACCTGGCAAAGCTGATCATTTCTAATTCAATTTGTGCACCGAGCTGACTGAGAGCCTACCTTTTGTCCCTGCACATCTGTCGTGATGTGGTCGGCTTCCCCGTCCTCAATCTCCCCCATCTTCACGACACTGACTTCTATGGTGCCAACCACTTTGCCACCATCTGAGGTTCTGCAAACAGAAATAAATGAAATGCAAAAGTGAGACTCCTCTCAATCATGTCCAAAGCATGTTTGCTTGTAAAAATCGGTAACATTGCTATTTACTTTATTTGTTTTAAACATATTTGATCAAAACACAGCAAAACACGTTATTAGTGCTCATGTTGTTCTTCATTTCCAGTGAAAATTAGCCACAGATTCATAAGATAAGGCATGAATCATCAAACGCTACCTCGTGAGGATGAGTTGTACCAACGGTAATCAAGAGCAACCCTGGGCAAAGAACACTGTATAACTGATCAATGTCCTATTTGCAAACATCCCATCTCTACGACACCATAAACCATGGCCCATCTATGCTTACTGCAGGAGAGAGTGTCTGTGTCCACGGCAGAAACTACAGCTGAATGAAACAGAAAAGAAAATGAACATCATGTGTCCCTCTATGGCTGGGCCACTCCCTACAAAATCTGACTTTGTATAAATTCCTTAATTATATTTCTTCCTAACAGGGAAGGGAAAGAAGGTTCTCTCCTAGCACACATACGTTAATGCACATGCAAAGCAGAACTCACACTAGCGTTCGTCGAGTTCAAACTCTTAATTTTTCCAGACAAAGAAGCCGAGACCCCTAAGAATGAAAGGACTTTCCAAGGTCACAAGGGGTAGTATCTCCAGGTTTCTAACTCCTTTAGGTATATTGTTCACTAAAAAAATTATTCTATATTTAATAAGGAAGCTTATTTTTTTTCATTGAGTTTATTGGTACATTTTAAGTATACAGTACAGTTACATTGGATCTTGTACCTTTACATGACAGGTCTTGGTTCTCATTTTTCCCCACACCTCTTCCCTCCTTTCATCCCCTCTACCGTCCCCTATTTACAAAGACTTTGTTGCCATATTTTCCTTTCCTCATTTTTTTCTTTTCCCTTATTTCCTTCCCCCTACCTTTCCCACTTCCCCTACTCCTTTAGCTTGCTTTATTACTAGGATTTTCATCATTTTCACCAACATAAAAAATGTTATGGTTATTAATAATAATAATAATAAATGCAAAGATAAAATCAACCAGCTGCCACAAACTAAGATTCTCTAGTTTTCATCCACTGAGTGAGCACTGCCATTTATACTAGGGGAGCCAGGCGTGGTGGCACATGCCTGTGGATCCCAGCACTTAGGAGGCTGAGGCAGGGGATCACTGTGAGTTCGAGACCATCCTCGGCTACATAGTGAGTTCCAGGTCAGTCTCAACTACGTAGTGAGACCCTGTCTCAAAATACTAAAAAACAAACAAATAATATACTAGGGGAATATGATCCCACATTTTTCCCTTGAGCCATTGTGAAAATAGATAACATACAGCCTTATCCTGGTCTGATGTGCTGCTGTAACTTCTACCTAAGCTCAACTAACTGAATAAGAATGTTCCCATGATACTTTGTTTTCTTTATTAATCATATTCTTTAATAAAATTTGTTTTTGACTCTAATATGAATGCTAATGGTGTACTTCTTTCAATCAACTCCTTTTAACTGCTGCTGTTTTATTATTATAAGCGATATCAAAAATAGGAATAGGATAACTAGTATAAGTAGTTTACCAAAATGCTACTTAAAATAATGAGTAAAGAGACAAGGAAACAATTACGTCACTACATTATGGTAGATTTTTCTAATGAAATGAAGGGTGCAAATTAAAATGCACATTTGGATTATGTTTTTAAGGAAATTGGAGTAAAAACATCCTGAAGATAAGGACCCAAGTAACATCACAGTGTGAAAAAAAATAAAGATGCTGTATATAGAAAAAGAAAAGTGATTTATTATTAAATACTATATTATATAAAGTAAAATGCTTTTTTGTAGTTTTATTTTTGGGTTTTGTTTGTTTGTTTTCTTTTTTGTACTGGGGATTGAACTCGGGGCCTTGTGCATATGAAGCAGGTAGCAGAACCACTGAGCTAAATCCCCAGCCACTTCTTGGTAATTTTAAAATCAGTGACAATCATAATATTGACTCAATTTTTAAAAAAATTCATGTGAAAAACTCAAACATTCATCACAAAGAAGGTACACATAGAGGTGACAGTATAATGTGTGATATTGCAGAAAATTGTAATAGCTCCAATCCTGACATGGTTTTAAATAATTCATTATATAATTTCCCACTTAAATATGACATAACATATTGTCACAAGTCATGATGTGGAGTATCTTTGTAAAATTCTATCTTTGTATAATATTAATTAAGTACTTTAATAAGAACCCTCATTGGTACTATGAATGGTTTTTTTCTAGAGATTTGCAGATATATTCCTCAAAACTGATTACCTAGAACAAATTAAGTTATCTTTTTCTTCTCAAAAGAAGCTGTTAAATAGTTTTTGTACAGAGAAAGTGAGCTAGCTGAATTTCTAGGAATACAAATCCTATGTGTGACAGTCTATATTTTGTCATTAAGGTGATGCAAATGGTGGATTAAATGATTTGAAACAACAGGCCAATTCTTCACAGCCTCTTGCAGGCTGTGTAACACAATGCAGTGGGTCGTCACGGTTACACATGTGCACTCGAGACTTGAGCTGCAAAGGCACAAGAAACTTTGCTTCCTTCACTTCTCACTCAGTCCCTTAAGGATTAAGTTCTTTGAGGTGGCTAATTCGTAAGTGCCTAGCACAGTGCCTTAAAAAGGCAGTTGCTGCCTCTTCCTTAACCCTTTATCCCAAGATAGTACTGCTGCAGCAGTAGCATCTAGAAATTGCTACTGACATCACCACAGATGTATTGATTTGTATGAAGCTGAATCTCTTCAGAAATGTTCCTGCAATATCCAAGACTACAGTAAAGGAGAACACGGGAAATCATAGCAGATGCATTTTAAGAGTGATTAAATACTCACAGGAGATGCAAAGACTTAGTGACAACAGATCAAGAAATAAAGCCTACTTTTCTAGTAGTGGAGAGGACACAAATCTGTAACTACTGCAATGAAAATGAACCTTTCAAAATTTCTAAATAGATGAATAAGAAATATATGAAGGGAATATATTTATGAGCTATAGTTCTATCCCTTGTTTAAAGAACCTGGCTACTTACCCAATGATTTTTCTGCCTTTTGAGTTTCCTTTTTATCCTCTGTAGTCCCTTTATGTCAGCTCCTGAGAGAAGTCAAGCTAGGAGTTTGCCTAACCTAGAGATACTGTACACTTGTTATATGAGTCTCCCCTAAAATCATATTAGGTAGGTAGCTTTTTTGAGTAGCTTGAAGAATGTCTTCTCATCTGAGATTTGTGAGAGACAGAATTAATGAACACAAATTCAAACTGAATCCACGCACCCCAAGCCTGGTTCATCCTGTCATTTAATTAGAATGTAAAATGCAGAAACCATTTCCTGTTTATTTTATTACCATTTACCACATGAAAAACACACATATCAACTTCAACTGGGAGAGTCACAAATGAAATATTTATTTTTTGTACCCAAAGATTATTTCAAAAATAAACTTCATAAAGTTTTAAGACAAAAAACCTCAGATACTTAATTTGTTGGTTTGTTTGTTTCTTGGTATCAGGGATTGAACCAGGACTTTGTGCTTGCGAGACAGGTGGTGAAACCACTAAGCTAAGTCCCAGGCCTGCAAATGCTTAATTTTACTATGAACTTATTACCCATCAAGTTGGTGAAGCTCATTAATAGTAATTTAGCCCATTATTCACCACTGAAATCTATTGAATTTTAACCAATGAAATGTCAACATGTTACACAGAGGATATATTTCAGAGAGTGCTGGCGTAGGGACCAAGAAACCCGAGTTCTACTTCTACTTTTGCTACTAATTAGCTACATGACCAAGTACTCATAATTTCGTTTCTATGGATTTCAATTTATCATCATATAAGACCAAAGGTTGCTGTCTAACACACATTCCATAATATCAGCACTCAAATCCCATTCTCTAATTATACCTAGGAGTCCATAATAGACCATCATTGGTTGATTTGGATTCAAGAAAAATCTCAGGCACATTCTATCCTCTCCTCCTTACTCCCCAATTTCTTATCCCACTTCACCTCCCCCAAACAACCCAAAAGTATGCCAAATATGGGAAGTAATTGAACAGTAAATTTTAGTGATTCAAAACCAGAAGTTATCCTTTTATTCATACCTAGCAATTCATGATTCAACAAGATAAGGCTCTAGTTGTAAATATCTCAATCTATATGAAGATAAAACACAACAACAACAACAACTGCATCGTTACAGATAGTGTGTTGCCAGGTGGCTACTGTTACTGAAAGCAGAGAGCTATATGAGAGTAAGGACAGATAGTTCATGATTGCTATAATGTTTCATTACAATGCCATGGTCCTCCTTCCTTTCAGCAGAGAGGCTTAAATATTTAACCATGCTAACAAGATACGGAAGACAAGGAATGGGAAAATTTCAGCAACACAAGTCTATACTCTCTTCTCAACCAGGTTTTCAGATACATATATGTTAATGACTTTAAAACTATGTCTTTGAAAATAATTCCCCTAATGCTTCCTAATCAAATATTCAATCTCACATGCTGAAACATACAAATATTTTTAGAAGACTGAAGAAAAGGGAATGGAAAACCATCTTTGTAACTAAGGGTAATTTAGTGACACTCTTAGTTTCCTTCCCACTATTCTGCCATCCTTAATGGAGCAAAAGGAGAAAAAGAAAAGATAAAACCTTTGGAATTGTTAATAGAAAAATGTAAATAACTCCCCTGGTTTGGAAATGCCATGAAGATGCAAACTGACAAACAATTCTGTAAACACCCAGGGAGAAACCATCATTAGCTCTGTCAGTCTTTGTGAATATAAAGTAGCACTGGTACCATATGCAGGAATTTGCAGCTGCAAGACATGCTTTGCATTGAGCCATCCAGATATATAACTCAGGAAATGAAAATCCCATCCAGACAGGAAAACAAGCCAACACTACACATAAACAAACAGAGCCAGTGAATGAGTGA